TCTAGCAACAAGTGGTAGCCGCGAGATAACAGCTGAATGCAGAAGGGGTTACGGAGCTGGTGAGAGCTGTCAACGGAAAGCCGGTACTTCGCTTCGGGTAAGAGGGCCTGGCACTACTGCTTTAGGTATGGATCTGCGTCTGAGCAGAATCGGTGGCTCCACAGCGGGAGCCATTGTGATTTTTCCATATTATTAAGAATTTTTTTATTATAAATAAGTTAACTAGTCGAAATAAATTGTTGGGAATGCTCCTAATAAATGCTAGTAGTGCCCATTTTTTGCCCGCATTTGGTGGATGCGTTCACCGAAAGCCTGTGGATTTCACTGGGAAGGAATATGGGAGGGCTGTAACTTACTCCTTCCCTGCTCCAGCAAGTCCACTGCAACAGTTTTATTCGGCTTATCGAAAACTCCTTTAGGATTGGGACGATAATATAGTATTCTGGATCCTGGTCCATTCAGTTTTTCCATAGCAATGCTTTTAGAGCCATATAAATACAAACTGTGTGCTTTTTATCAGCGTGCCGGATAAGTGATGCAAAAATTCTGGACAACTAGCTACACCATTTCACCGCTCCTCCGCATGATATGCTGGTATCACTGAAGCTAGCAAAACAGAAACAGACCATTTTAGTGCATTGCTGCTACTGCCAAATCGTCGAAAACGTGGCTTGAGCTGTGAGACAAGATACTTTAGATGCTGCTGGTCGCCACTGTAATCTGGAAGTATTTTTTGGACTAGACTGTATGCCGGATAGCAATTTCGAGTATAATGGTATCCCATTCAAATTTCTGCTTGCTTTTTTACGCGAGAAACCTTGGTATTGAGGAGGAAGCAAAGGCCGAATTCTACGTACGATCGTGCAAATAACGGGATATTCAGTGGCATAGGCGGATCCAGAGCGGGAAAGGGTTTTCTAAAGTAAACTAAAGCCTAAAGCAACTCTAAACTAAAGTAACTCTAAGCAGCAATGTTACAACTGTACTCCTAGTTTTGGACAGTTCCAGGCTGACAAGGGCTCTCACCCACCTCCCGTCGCTCCTCTCCTCCCCCTCCCTCCCCCCTCCTCCTCAAGGGGCCCGTCCTGAATCTGCCTAGCTCAACAGACTAAAATTTCCCGATCGCCTGAACCACCAGATGTAGCCTCAGTGTCACTGGATTTCACAATTTCCTTTTTTGTTTTTTTTCCTGGAAGTGGAATGAATGCATTTCTTTTCGGTAAATAAAAGGATCCAGCTGCGCCTGCATAGAACTGTGTGGATCATAAGCCTCAAAATAGAGAAGAATGGAGAAGCTATCAGCTTTATCGAGGAGCAAAAGGACGTGACAGTGAAACGCGTCAGTTGTCCAAAGAAACAAATTTATCCAGGGCCAACAATATCAAAAAATAATTTTTATCACGGAAATTTACCGTCGTAGTTCCAGTTTATTGGATTGGCGTCTTGCACAGCTAACAATACAATAAATATTCCAAGAAGTATTTGATGGAATGACATCCTGAATGCACCTGAAATGCTGCTCAACAAGCTGGGCCCGGAAGCGAAAGCGGAGCAAATGAGCTTCCGGTCCAGAGGGCTCGTTTACGGAACTGAACTAAGCGAAACTAATCGCGCTGCCTCCTCTATCGTTTCATTCATCCAGTGGCTCCCTTGCATTAAAAAAAACAACAGTACAGCGAAACTGCTTCAAAATCTCTGCAGATCTCGATCAATGCTACTGAAATACAACTATGTGTTGGAATAGGCGATTCAAGCTTCCTAGCCCGAATCGCTGGGAATACATCATAACCTCTCCCATTTTGTTGTGGAAAGATATCATTGAAAGGAGCGACTTGCCGCTTTTTAAAGGAGCGATTTTTCCAGTTCTTGCCAACTTATAAAAGGAGCGGTTTTTGCAATTTTCGCCGGCAATATCGAAGCAAGAAATGGAATACGGCATGGCAGCCCCGTGCAGACTACGTTACATTAGGCTACCGTTTTTCCAACTAACAATGAGTAGCTCGACAAGAACATAATACTCCCGAGTAGCAATGGAAAAGTGGAATTTGCACACATCAGTTCAGAGCT